TATGTATTATTGTAGGGTGTGGCTTGCAATATAAATCTCCTTGAGGCGACTGTTGTTGTGATTTGGTGCCGTATAAATAAAATTGAACTGAGCTGACTTGAAGTTGTTCTGTGTTCTTTTGTGGCCTCCTGGATGAGCAGTTAATGCACTCTTGGAGTAATTTTGGTAGACCGGCCACTTCTGGGAAGATTCACCTCTATTCCAAGTTTTCATTATTTGTTGATAATGTCTCTCACTGTGGTTCACAAAGCCTTGGAAATATCTTTGTAAACCATTCCAGACTGATTGATACCAATTTCTTTAGATTGTGGCATGATGTGTTGCCTACTTCACTTTGTCATACAGGTTTTATTTGAGCCATTTCTTGATTCTGGCAGTAATCGGGGGTTAATCACGGCTGCCAGAATGACACCATTTTTCCTGTGCCAACCTTGCTTAAAAAAGGACAATGGAAGATATGAACTACAGCTCACCTTCTGTTCCAGAGTAATGATGTTTGCATGTGTGGAGGATGACAGGAAGAGGCACGATTTTAAATATGACCTTGTAAATTTAGAACATGGAGAAAGAGAAAGTAAGCAGCAAAGTTTATTTATGCATTTGCGTAGATTGATCACTCTGCTGGTTAAGGAGATGATGATGATGATGATGATGATGATGATGAGGCACTTATGTGCAGCGGCACAGTTGGGGAGTACAGATTCCACTCCCTGAAGACTTCTCTCACTGCCAAACAAACTCACACATGCACAAACACACAGACCTAATCAAATACATAGAATGACACGAATCTATTCAAACACACACTCTGCACACTCACAATTCCGTTAATGCAAATGTCCTCTCACACACACGTACAGCTGCGTATTGAAAACAATTAAATCTCAGTATATATGAGTGTCGGGACTCTTTAGGAAGCGGTATTCAGCAGCATCAGAACAAAAAGCAATAGCTATCGCCTGTGTAATGCAGACTGTGTGTTGATAATGTTCACCTTAACAGGATAGCCACCTTTCACAAATTTTACCCATTGGTCTGAAGTTGTGCTATTGTGAAGGGAGCCTTTCCTGTAATGCAGCACTGCTCCCTCATGGCTCTCAGTGGAACAGCAGCAGAGAAAAGGATCATGGCCATCGGAGTCGGCCCTGTTGTTTGAACTCTTTTAAATATTAATGTTTTTCCTGCTTTTATCTTCAGAAATATAAAACAGGGGAGGCTGTATAATGCTTGTAGATGAAGAATACATAATAGTTACAGCTGCGCTGTAATATCAGATGAAACTTGCATATTGAAATAAAATATTTAAAAGCTCCTTCTGAGGTGTTAAAGAGGCTGCAGCTGTGCGAGGGATTTAGAAAATCTTGTGTTTCAAGAAAAAAGGGGAGGATTTTTTGGAGGATCAGTCGGACCATATGCCACATTGTTATATTCTGACTAGCTCTTTTATTTGTTGATTTGAGAAGTTTAAAAAGTGGGGCATAACAGCGCCAAGTCTGAGGTGAGCATCAAGAGTGAACATTTCACCTCAGGAGGTTTTGAGTAAACCACACCAGGGCCTGAATGTCATGAAAGAGGTAAATCGGATAATAAAAAAGGGTTAGGGGGGCTTGACGGATTACTTGTGACCTTTTAAACACTGGGTTACAGTCTGCGGGCTTGTCAGGTCATTTATCTGTGCTGCACTGCTGACATCGCTGAGGACAGTGAGATGCAAGGACACTGACCTTAACCCTTTTTACAAGCTGCACAATGCCTTGAGGACCGATGACAAATGGCCAAAGCGACCCTGGAGAGCGCCACCTCAAAACGTGACGCAGAGCTCCTTGAATGGTCCGGCAGTGTAGACTTTTCCCCTTCTCTTTTGAATTTTGTGAAACTGTAACTGTCAGATATTTATTTTCGTGTCTTCATTATGAAACATGAGGCTTTATTGCACAAAGTTCGTTAACACACCAGTGAGTGTAGCGACTGTGTTGACATTCACAGGTCGAGGTCTCACGAGCGATCAACGGGAGAAGCTGCTAATTGAGCAGAATCTCACCTTTGCGGTAGAAGCGGAATCAAAAAAAGAAAGGTAGCAGATGAAATACATATATCTGAAAATAAAATCGAGCATGATTCTGGCGAAAGCACAAGATTTATGAGGAATGAATTTATATGCTTGATGTCTGAGCAGGTGAAGAACAAGAAGGTGAAATATGGCGACGACCCTGCTGCATGTTGCCTCCTTTCAGACAGAAAATTGCTGATTATTCACTGACCTTTGATTAAATTTTACTGTAGCCCATCAAACCTCTGCAACAGTGGACCAACACATGCTAACAAGGTCCTTCACATAACAATAATATGTGACGTTCTGAGCCTGTGAGAGGAGCTTTATAAGCTCTGGTGGTGGTGTAGGCGACTCCACCAACTCCACCATGGTAAAACCTTTCTGCAGTGACTGATTAACAATTAAGTGTCTAAGATTTCAAGCATGATGTCACCGCCAGTAGCATGCTTGAGCTGTTGAAGGTCAAGGCCTCCATCCTCATGACTTCGACGTGATAACTGAAAGCCAGTTTGCACACATTAACCTGTGAAATGCAGTGAGCGACTAAATCCTCGACACTGGTTCAAAAGATTAATTATACACTATATAGACAAAAGGATTCGACATACCTCTTTTTGTTTAAAATTCAAGCACCTAGCTATCCAAAAAGCTCATTGAATTCCAGCAAAATTAATTTTTTCCTGGTAAGTACTGGTAACAAACTAAGAATATATTAAAATGATATAATGGTAAATTGATTTGATTGGTTGATTAGCCATTATCATTTCCCCTGGGAAAAATATATCTTGGACAAATGAGGGGAACATCAGATATATGATAACACATACTCATCACAAAATCAACAGTTTCACCTATTACCATTCAGTAATTTAATTGATAACTGTAATAAATCAACATAAAATGTTTACCTATTTAACTTTTTCCCGAGGGCATCGACTCCTACTCTGCTACTGGTTCCGTACATAGATCTGCATTGCAAACTGTTCATGATAAACTACTTTTTGCCTCTTTCGAGACAGAGGTCCTGAAAGAGGGACAGGAAGTCCCTCCTTTAAGGCCTCAAAGTTAGTGGAGAGAAGGTTATTTGAAGATATAAAAAAAAAAAAGTTGGACATATGAACAGTTTATTTAAGCAATCATGCAGAAAAAACAAGACATGAAAGGTTGATGACTCACGAGGAAATCCAACTTATTTTTCATTTATGTATGTGAGAGAAAATGCGCGTGCACACACACACACACACACACACACACACACACACACACATATACACATATATAGACATGCTCAAGGGCAGTGCTGAGACTGTACAGGTGACAGAATATTTTCCAAACTGTTTTGCTTCACAAATTTTCATTTAGACAGGAATATGCTAAAAGCCACCCCCATGTGTGCGCACAACCCTCAGGTGGTAAAGTTTCAGTTTTCCCACCTCCTGCTTTTGGCTTCCTCTGCCGACAAAGTCACAACTTCAAAGTCAAAACAGAGGAAAGTTGTGACACACACACACACACCAGAGCACGTGCATGCAGGCCACACTTATTTCAAGACCCAGTATTCCCCGTTTTTCCACATTTATTTCCCTGCCTCTTTCGCCCTTTTGTGATGTATAATTGAAGCTGTGTGTAATTTTACCAGCTGATTTCTAGCTGAATCCCTCTTGAAGCTGAACTTTCACTTTTCTTGTAGTTGTGGAATATTCTCTCTGAAGTGGCGAGTTGAGCTCTTTGAACATGCTGGTTAACACACTTTTCCTCCCGCCAGGCTAACCCCGTCTCCATTACGCATCATTCTAACTTTATCACAGAAGCAAAAGTTTACCCAGCATCACTTGAATTTGTCCTTTTTGGTCATAAAAGTGAACCTATTTATCCTTTCTTTCTACTGAAATAAATCACAACTTTTCACTTGTTTCACTATATAACATGAACACCAGTGTTCACAGCCTTGACACTCAAATTGAGCTCAGGTGCATCCTGTTTCCACTGATCAGATGGTTCTACAACCTGATTGGAGTCCACCTTTGGTAAATTCAGTTGATGGGACATGATTTTTGTTTAGAGATGCTCTTCCTCTATAATGGTTTGTAACAAGTGGTTATTTTAATTAATGTTGCCTTCCTGCAGTCTGACCTCTGTCATCAAACTATTCTCACTCAGAAAATTGCTGCTCACAGGATACTTTTTTTCTCAGACTATTCTCTGTAAACACTAGAGACGTTTATACAAGAAAATCCCAGAAGATCAGCAGATTCTGCCCGTAAGGCACTAAGAACCAAGCCGTTTTCAAAGTCACGCAAATCAACGTATCTCCATGTTGATGCTCCGTTTGAACCTGAGCACATCAACTTGACCATCTCTACAAGCCTAAATGTGTCGAGGTGCTGCTGTGGGATTGGCTGATTAGACGTTTGCTTTAACAAGCAGCAGACATGGCCAGCGAGTGTAGATGTTGATCGTATTAAACGTAACTGAAAGGAAGCGAGGCACCACCTCGTAGTGCTTTTCAGCTACTGTGCTTTACAAGTTAATTATCTTCTGAGCTGAATTCTCAAAGACGCAGACCACTACAGTATCAAGATAAATCAATAAAAACCAGCATGCACCTCTGTGTGACACTAAACCTTTAATGAGTAATAAAAGGAACTTGCTCTCTGCCCTGCTCACATCTGATGGAGTGCTTAACGCAGCAGAAGGCCGAGAAGCAGCAAGGACATCTGAGCAGCACTAGGAGGGGTCGGGTCAAGTACAAAAGAAGGTGGAACCTACACCAAAAATATTACCGTAGCTGCATTTGGCTTGATCCTGTTAAATCTTTCCAGAGTGAAATACCTGAACAACTGTTGAGTGGGCTCTTAGGAGATGTAGTGCAGTTTGGAAGAGCTTAAGGGTGTGATGTCTATTGTGACTTTTCAGTGCCAAAAAGAAAACGCACAATTCTTTCTTAACATTTTATTCATTGTCCAAATTCATATTCTTCCTTTTTTAAACATTCTCTTAAACAAAAATAGAACAACTATTTACACTTGTAAAAAATACATAAAAAGCGTACAAGCAAAATCAAGTTGTCTTTCTAAAAGACATAAGTTACAACAGCTATTAAGTGTGAGACAAAAGCAAACTTTAAGCCACAGACCGAGTTAATACCTCTTTGTACAGATTGTGCAGCTCACTCACCACATTTAAGCTTATTGTTGTGCATTTCTGCTGTAATGCCAAAAGACGTCGACATAAAACACATTCACATCTCTCTTATTGCATTCCACAGCAGGAGACGAGGTGGGGGCGGGGCTAAAACGATGAGGGGTATTTCCAGGTGAAGGAGGTGGCATGTGCCTTCCTCCAGTTTTATGCAATTAGGAGCACTGAGATGCTTTTTTATTGAAATCTAGCCATTTGTATCATTTTGGAAAACTATTGGCAGTAATACAAGCTGCTGCTGTGATTTAAAAAAAAAAAAATCAATGGTGAACAATAATACTGATTTGTGGTTAAGAATCTCAGGGATCTTGTGCAAAAAAAAAAAAGGTGAAAAAAGAGAGCAGTCAGTTTCTGACAGTCTGTTTCAAAGAAAAAGGAACCCGGGTGAGGGTCACAGTAGGTGCTCTTGAGCAGTGGAGGGAAATCCATTAGAGGAGCAGAGTGAGTAAAGTGAGGAGAGAGGGTTAAAAGTTTAAAGTCCTGCTGAGCTGACGGGGCTGAGAGACCCTACACCACACAAGGCGTCACAGCAGAGCTTGTTCAGTTCAATTCAAACAGAGAGGAATATTATAACAAAAAAACCCTCATTTCAATCATCGTGTCTGAGAGGGAAAGAACTCGCCTCGTGTCGTGAAACTGGCAGCGAGAGACTCACAAGGGGGCCACCTTTCTGCAGGCAGAAGCAATCAAAGCAAAACTGCAAACTAAGAAGGGCTTTTGTTGAGTTTGTCCTTATGTGCAGCATCCCAGACTGAATGGAAATGGGATTTAAAAAAAAAATGTTGATCCCAGCCTCACAAATATATAATTCCACAACACACACACTCACACACAGACAGCCATATCCCAAAACACAGCAGCAATTAAACTGAAAGAGCAGAAATGGCACTTCAAAAAAACAACAACAAAAAAAACAACAACAAAAAAAACAACAAAAAAAAACAGAGGGGAGAAAATAAAAATTCCTTAAAAGACTCCTGCCCTGCTGAAAAAAAAGAAAAAACAGGGCAATCACCACCTTGTGTTATTTCTCATAACAAAATATTCAAAAATAGCCTTTATACACGACTCTTCTGTCATCATAACATTAATTTATGGCAAAGAAACAACAAAAAATATATATGTATACTTTCGTATGTATATGCCGTGTGTGTGTGTGTGTATATGTATATTAGCATCAATCATTTCAAGTCTTTGTGTGGCAAAACAAAAGAAGCGTCACAGAGCGTGCGACAAACAGCAGAAGGAGAAGAGCATCTAATTCCAGTTACACCCCTGCCGAACTGTGGAGGAAAAAAATCAAAGCACAAATGGAAAAAAACCAAAACATTTTTCGTTTGCATGTACAAATTTGCTTCTTGTTTTCAATACAAATAGACAATTTTCAAGCACATCCTCTTTAAATAGTCTACAAAACACACTATGGACACAGAATGAAGGTGCGAGCTACGCCTTAAAATATTCGCCGACTTGTTTGCGACACTCGCGCTTTTAAATAGGAAGAAAACAAAAGAACAAAAAAAAACAAAGAGATGAGAGACGAGAGGTACACTGTGAGCACATAATCCAAATTTATGCTGCATCTGCATATTCCTGCTGCATTATTAACACATTTACAAGGTCGGCCGAACCTGGAGTGTTTGCACTAACACTCAGCTTGTAATTCAATAGACAACTAGTCTAATAAACACTGTAAACAAAATGTGTAAGCACTGGTGTAAACACTGTCTTTATGCACACCAGCGTGATTTTGGTGTGTGTGCATATATATATATATATATATATATATGTATATATATATATGTATATGCATGCAAATCGTGTGACCACACAGTGCTAATTTATCATTTTATTATAGCTGCTGCAATTAAATAACAACACATTTTTATTATTCTACGGTAAGCAGCAAGTCATTTGTTCTTCAGCTCATTAGAATCAAGTTATGATACAGTTTTTATAGAACATCCAGGAGGCAGCATGCCGCTAAAGTACCTCGCGACAGACTAAACAAGCAGTAAGAGAAGCGGCTGGCGGTGGGGAGTGCAACACGCAGCCACGGGGAACTGCCTGAGATCTGCAGTTTGTCTTTTTTCCACCTGTAAAGCTCAGCAAACTACAATAAGCGCTAAACATGAACAGACGTGCCTTCCGTTGTTCCGCGGGTTTGATTTCTCATTTGTCACCACTTAAGGAGGGAGCGTGGGAAAGAAAAAGGCAACGGGCTCCTGAGGGGCTTTTCTGACCTCCGATGCAGTCGAAGTTTAAGTACTGCAACTGTTCTGTGTATTTTTATTCGGGTTTTTTGTGCATTTGCTTTGTTCATGTGGAATCTGGTGTCACATGCGTAAATTAATATCATCAGTGCCAAAGCTTGTCTCTTTGTTTCACATTCATCTCCATTGGAGCGGACGACAATCTTGCAAACGTCAAAATAAAATGAGAAGAGCCACAAAAAAAAGAGAAAACACCCCCGTGAGTTCATGTTTGTCCACGACGCTGCTGACTACTTTCCGTCCCTTTTTGTCCTCACCATCCTCGCATAAAAGCTCAGAGATGCAACTTAAAGAAGAAAAATTAACACTTTTAAAAAAAAAATAATCTAAACCACTGTACAAGATTTTAATTTAAAGAAAAAAATCAACAACAACACGAAAAGTGAGCTTGAAGCGCAAAATGGAGGTACACGGTCCGTCTCTGAGGAGGCTGACTTTGTCGCACGACGCGTCTTTATTGTCACTCTTTCCTTCTTTTATTTTGTTGGGATTTTTTAAGTCCATCTACGGCGGCGTGATCCCATCACAGCGCCTTTCTGCTTTGTACAGAGTTTTTAAAAAGTATCCAAAGTCGCTGTTTTCTTCTTTTGATTTCTGAAACGAGTTTAAAAAGAGGTGCTTGTGTGAGTCCCGGGAGTTGGACAGGGGTCACCTGAGTGACTGGCCAGGTTCACGAGTGGTCTGCGGTGACGTCACAAGGGGCCTTGGGAGGGGCTCGGACGATGTGCTCTGACAGTTGACGGCAACCAGCTGACTGGCTTAGTCCAAAGCCGGATCAACACGACTTGGTCCGTCGGTTTGTGCCGTTACACCGCTGAGACTTGCTCATCTGGAAAAGAGAAGATAAATATATATACCTCATGTTCACATCGTAGCCTAAAATTTCTCTATCACATGATGTCTTTGCAATTCTTTTCTACAGAAAAGAATCAATTCTCATTAGTTTCCTACCATCCTCACTGTCAGCCAGATCCTGTGGTGGGTGGCAGATGCTTGGCGGTCTGGAGTGGCCCGGCGTGGACCCGGCTGTCCGTGCGTCTTGGTGTTGAAGGTGAAGGTTACCCGCCAGCCTGCGTGCCTCAGCCAGACTGCCGGCAGCTCCGGGGCTCTGCAGGAGTTTGCTCCTCTGCAACGCCACGCTGTAGTCCGGAGGTTTGAGGTGAGGAGGCCTGGGGACGTGCCCTCCTGGCCCACCTATTACTCCGTCTGCGAGGCCGAGGTCCCCCAGGGCCAGGCCCTGGTAGCCTGGAGGGGTGGGAGGGGGAGCTCGGTAACGCTCATCCTTGGCAGGGGAGGTGACACAATACACTGGATGCAGGTGGAGATCAAAAAGAAAAAGGGTGGGGATGGACCGAAGAAAAGAGGGGGGGATGAGGGATGAGGAGTGAGAGGAGGAGGCGAAAAGGTTGCCGGGGAGAGGGGGGGAGGGTGTGCAGAGGGTAAAAACAAAAGAAAAAAAAATAATGGGAAAATTAAATCAATGCGATGTCACCAACACAACAGGCAGCTACACATGCACCACAGTGTGTCAAAAATGAAAAGAAAAACACAACAGATGAGATGGATGGCTGCAGAATACAGACAGAACTGGAACTGCAACTGAGAACTGACTTCAGCACTGATTAGTTTGTCGGTTATTCCCAGATCAATCGATTAATCGCTTGGTTCTTATAACAGTGGAAATGTCCATCGTGATGATCTGATATTTATTGTGAGCTAAGAAAAGAAATAGCAAATTCTCACATTTGAGGTGATGCAGGCGAGAGTGGCCGACTAGAACGATTAATCGATTGTCACAGTTGCTGTCAATTAAAATCCACACCAACGACTCAAAATCTGTCCTAAAAATTGCTTAAAAAAAGACGTTTTGCTATCCTTATGATAGTAAACGGCTATCGTGTTAGCACAGCAGGAGATCCAAAAAGAGGAATTGACTCTGGAGAGGATAGAAAGCTAACAGTGATAAGAATGAGCTCGGACTCATTCTTATCAAAGTGCAGCAAATTCAAGCTGTTTACTGGAGCTTAAATCAAAATATGGTTTGGCACCAAGACAGATTTGGGGGGAAAAAATCAAAGTCTATAACCTCACAAGCAAATCTAGGATGGCAGAGCGTATTTTCTTCTTTTTCTCCTGACCACTGCTACTCTGTGCTGTGCTTACAGGGAATCAAACTCGCAAGCTGTTCCCTCACCTATCAGGCCCTTCTCTGTGCTTGATGTCACCGTTTTGTAGGCAGGGTCTGTGCTTTGCCCTCCTTCCTCTTTGGCTGGTGAGGAGGGGTGCTCCGAGGTGTTTCGCCGCTTTATCGTCCCGTAATTCCCCTCGTAGGTGTCCGAGAGCGAGCCGGACGACGCCCAGCTCTGCCGGCACTGATTGGACAGGTCTGAACTCGAGTCTCTGGAGTGCTGCCTGGCACCACCGTCGCTCGCCCACACGGGCCCGGCAGCCTCGGCCTCCGCTATCGGCCGGGTCATCTGCGTGTGCTTGAAGTGGGACAGAGCAAGCGGGTGGCCGTGGATGCCGTGGTCCCAGGGCCGGCAGGAGGAGGTGGGGAGGCTCTGGAAGGAGTCGTGGGAGTTGGAGGAGCAGGCCGTCCAGCTGCCGCGCCCGCTGTCGGCCACCGAGTCCAGTGAGGTGTGGTCGTGGGTCAGCTCCTCTGTCGAGATGGAAGAAGTGAAGGTGGAGGCTCGCGTCGGGTATCCCCGAGCTGACGAGGAACCGCTGTAGATGAACGAGAGTAATACACAGATGAAAATCAGCACAAATACCAGCTCTGATTGATGTTTCGTGCCCCTGTGAATAACAGTACCTATCCACCTCCTATTACCAGTTCAAATACTCTTATTTTACATAATAAAATACATTTATATAAATGTGTAACTTGGCATACTTGTCATTTCAAACCGCATTTGCAGAACGCCTGCGTGGCAATCACGACTACAGTGTAGAAAAACCGGCCTGTGTAAAAATAGTCAATAAAATATAGTCTGTTGCGCAGGACTGTTGAGTGGTGGTAAAGGTGGAGGTAAGTCATACTGAAATGAAGCGACAAGAAAGCAAGAGGGAAGAAGGGAGGGGCGACAGGGGAGGACAAAGGAGGTTCATCAACCATAAAACACTGCTGAAGGGCACCTCGGTCAGAGGATCACCAGCACGAAAGACAAATGGACAAAGGATGAAGTTCAAGGTTACACAGATCACAAACCGCACTCTTTGTTTTTATAATGATGTCGGTACCTGTAAAATCAGCTTTGATTCTGCACACGTAAAAATCACAAAGAATATGACAACGTTTCCCTGCAGCCTGGCTCAAAGCGAAACATAAACTTTTCCTCTTCACCTACTTTGTTTGTTTTCATTCACTGACACCGTTTTACTGGACAAAACATGCCACTCAATGAAACAGAGCCATATTTCATAAAACAGGTGCGTGTTATACGACGAGGCTGCCGAGGTAATATATTACCAGAGCGGGGACACGGGTTATTGAGTCTCCTCTTTATGAGACACAATGGCCTGATCATGGAGGAATAATAAACAAACAGCAGATAATAAAAAAAAAAAAGCCGTGTTGTTAACTCGGCCAGATTAAAAAGCCGCCCGCGTAGAAACCGATACGCTGTTAATAGAGAAGAGGAGGAGAGAGGAGGTCAGTAAATGTGGGATGCTAATAAAAACCCGCTGTGTTTTAGAGCTTCCTGTTTAATGAGGGAAGGACGTTATTGGAATCCAGCTTGCTGAAAAGGTGGCAGCAGACAGCGTGTGTCTGTGCGTGTGTGTCGAACGGCGAGGTTTCTGACACGTGCCTTATAAAAATATTTGCTTGCATTTTGGTCGCCTGGTGCAAAATGTTCCTGTTCAAAAAGCTGGCTCCAAAAGCGAGTCAGCTTGGGCGTAGACTCCCATGTTAACTCTTTCCTCATAAAGATGACATTTAGCGACCCCCCCCTGTACCTTTAATGGTGAGTTTTGACGCCTCTGCATAGCTCAATCAATATGGTTTGACAACCATTTCTGGGTTTTCCAAGAGTAGCTGAAGAGGCAGAGACCACTCTCACTAACGTCTGATTCAAGCCCGGTCATTTTGTTCATTTAATAAGTCCTGAAATGTGACAGAAACCTCTCAGTTCAGAACTTAAGAGCTTCAGGTGTTGCTCCTTGTAGGCTTTCAAGGGGTAAAGAGTACAAGTTCTCATCACTGAACAGGAATAAACATACTCACAGCCTCATCTCTATAGCTACTGTTCTCACTAATGTCGAGCGCATGCTTTTTAAATTATATTTAACCCATTTAAATGTTATTAAGGCCATAAGTTTTATCTATTGCATATTGGCTGTTTGAGTACCAGGTGGTGTGTGCAAGACTCCTCAGCTTCACATCAGCTAATTGGAGTCACTGAACTGGACCTCTTAACCATGTTCGCGGTGTTGCTGCTTTTTAAGGTAATTATCTGGCAAATGAGATGGCGTGCTGAGTGGTTATTTGTACTAACAGCTTTGGTGAGTTACTTTGTGTCTGTGCAAAACACCCAAACAATCTACAGATGCATCCAGCTAATGAAGCTGGCCAGAATTAGGTCTTGTGCCCAGATATTACAACCGAGACAGCAATAGCCATAACTCGAGGCTTCAAAATGTGAACAACGTGCAAGTCACACAGGCGTCGAGACCCGTCTGTAATTCCAGGCAACACACAGTTTGATAGGAATAAATATGTTTTCAACACTGTTTGGTGAGTGGTTATAAATACCTGCAAACTACTTGCGTTGAGTTGTGGTTTGGGAATCACCTCACGCAAGTTTCACTACTGCTCAGCAAGTAGTTGGCGGGTGTTTGCAGACAAGTTGCCATCTTGTCTAGCAACCTGCTAGCAACCAAAGCAGTGACAAGGAAGTTTTTTGGTGCACCGTATAGCTCCTTGCAACCAATTTGACCTATCCATTACCAGCAGCCTCCAGCAACTACTTGGATAATATACATGTTTCCCTAGCAACCAGAGATTGCCAGGGGGGTTGCTCACGGGTCTCTAGGCCTGTGTTACTTAGGCCTTATCAAACATCCAGTCAGTATACGATAGGAATCATAATCAGTCCTTGTATTATGCAAAGTGCAAAACAACAAAACTATCTTGTCAGTCTATTCTATCAAAATAAAAGCACTTCTTAAATGTAATCTAAAGAATTAATCAGACAGATTAGACAAACTAAACTGAAGTCAAATTACCTTGTGCTGGGCTGGCTGTAATCAGCATTTACGTGGGAATGCATTCCTGCTGCGCTCTCAGGAACCGCAGTAGCTATTGCAGGAGACGTTGTAGTAGCAATAGTGGCAGTAGTAGTCATACAGGTCCTGTTGCTGCTATTACATCGGTCATCAGGCCCAGGAGCAGGCACAGAGTCGACCGAACAGATACTGGAGCGGGAGGAGATCTCGCTGTGACTCGAGTCCGACAGGTTGTCAGCTTTACCGGGCGGTAGGAGGGCATAACCTGGACAGAGGAGCGTTTCAGATATTTACATTTTGGAGGTTAAGCTGAATTTTTATTAAAACTGAACAGAGACTTTTAAACAAAAGCTGAGTGCAGTGGTACAAATGCAGATCATTTTACTGGGTTGCAATGACGATTACTGCAGCCAAAGTATGGCAGTGTTAATGTGCACTGTACACAAATGATGCTCTCTTTAGTGAGTGACTGCATCCTGAGGAAGACAAAGAGTAAAATAAAACTATAAAGAGACTACTTTAAATTTCGGTGACGCCGAAATCACAAACACTATCAGAAAGCATGAGGCTGTTGTTTGTGTTATTTGTAGACTGAGACTATGAATTGTGTAGAAATGACTGTGAAACACACACTTGTGGGAGGGGGTGGGTTCATAGTTTAAACTTTATATCACAAAAAGCAAATAAACTGACTGTCGGGAAACTAAATGAACATTACAATTAAAATGCTGCACGCCACAGAAGAAATCCATATACCAAAAACAGAGCCTACAACTTGTCAACCAAAAACGAAGAATAAATTTAATCATTTTAAAATTCAAATTCGGGAACGAAGAATGTTTCACAGCGACAAACATGACTGTCGGCTGCTCGGTGACATCCAAACACAATAATTCATGGCTTTAACCCATGAATAAAAAATGTCGGGAGAGTTGCGAGAACACACTGAAATGCTTTTTCCATCTGCTGTTACAGCCTCAGATGTACTCTTTCCTATCTGTGTCGCATCGTCTTCTTCAAGTATTCACAGCGAAAACTCTCAGGCGTCACATCTCTGTGACTCACGGTGGATCTGAAGCTCTCAAGCAACACTTGTACTTTAAAAAGAAAATGCTTTTTTTTTAATATGATGGACTCTTAATAAATGCAAATCATCAACAACAGCAAAAGTCTCTCTCAAATACCACAGTGTCCCTTCTCTTTACTGTTTTTGCTATAACTGTCTCAACGTGATGTCTGTTAGAGGGTCTTTCTCCTGGAGTCTCTGTCCCTGCACAGCCAGAGGAAGGGGTTAGGGCTGACTGATCTCCTGGCTCTCTGCTCTGTCTGCCCTCGTGTCTCATCCTGAGGTGAGGAGGACATACACTCTGCTGTTTCCTCCCTACTGTTCAGGTGTGGGCTGACTGGTGCTGGCCTCTCCCTGGACTGACTCCTTTTCCTCAGTATCCTGAACGGTGACATTAGCCTCCTCCTTATGGGGGACTCTGGGAGTGTGTGTCTCATTAAAGGAGACTGGGAAAATGGAGTTGGAAAACTGTATGGAGAGTCACTTTGGACCGCAGGATGATCTCCATCAATCCTTTTCCTTTTTGGGGCTGGACTTCCTCCTCTTACCCTCAGTGACGTTAGCCCTGCATCTGCCTGTGCACCCTGGCTGCTCTGCTGCCTGGATCTCCCTTTCCTTTGCTCTGATGAGTGGAACAAGCCTCTCTGAACTGCCTCTGTCTCTTCCTGCATCTTCTCCTCTTTTTCTCTCTCCCTCCAACTCTCTGGGCTACTCTGCCTGGTCATCAATAGGATCCTCTTTTGGAGGAGGGTCCCACCTATGCCGTAGCTGCGCAGACTGACGGTGGCCTTTGAGCTAGCTTCGCTGGTCAGCGACGATGAAGATCCCGACAAGTTCATCTGGCTGGAGTTCTGGGACTTTGCCACACCTCCCACTATTTAAAAAAAAAAAAAGGCAACAATAGAAGAGATGAAACCCAGAAAACACAAATTAAAACTTTATTATTCATGCATGTTAAGTCTAATCAAACCACACTAATATCTTAAATCAGTAAGATTATCTGAAGTGGATAAAAAGCAAACAGGGTAAAAAAAAAAAGGAAGCAAGAAACAGTTTTGGTTGTAAACCTTTGCGCGGGGAGCCCTGAGGTGACACCGTGGGGCTCGAGTGAAGAGAGGAGATGGTGGAAACTGTGTCGTCACATGTTCTCTTTGTGCTCCACTCCTCTGACGAGTTCACTGGTGGTTTCTTAACCACCTGAGGTGAGTTGGAATCTGAAGAAGAGAGAAAATAAAAGGTCACGAAAGTCGCCAAACCAGGGATTTGGTTACACTTCATATAATACAGAACACAGAAATGTGACATTTCTTTCTGTCTTTGCTTTAAATAAATAAGACGACAACCCGACTGTTTTCTCAGAAACAAGTTTGAAATCATTTTGAATTTTGTGCACGACTGCAACTTTACAATAACCATAAAACTAGTCACTTATTAATCTTTGAAACACAAAAGTCTATTGAAAAGTAAAGTTCCTACATGATGATAAAAAGTTACATTACATGGCCTAATGAGAAATAAAACAGGCCTGTACTCACTAAGTGAGGCTATGTCCTTGGCAGTGCTCTTCTTTCGTAGAGGGTTCAGTGGGACCTGGACCTGTAGGACTTGTGACACCCTGTTTTGTGTTTTTCCGGAGGGCAGAGTTGACCGCAGCGAGACTGGAGACATATCCGACTTAGTGGATCGCCTCTCATTCAAATTCTTAGACACTAAAATCACAAGAAGGTGACAAAAAATAATGTCATAAACCGGCAAAACTGCATCCAACATGAAGCCAGTGTAATAAAGCAATAATGATGTTTAGATCGACATCTGATGTGGGCTTTTTATTTGAACCTTTAGTTACCTATACCAAGAAAAGTACCAAAATCGATGATACTAACCAATAATCCTGCTACTTTTGACAACATTACCAAAATCCACTAGATGGCAGTGCAGGACATCTATTTTTATTTATTTATTTTTTATATTATTGAACAGGACAGTGGTGGAGAGTAAACAGTAAAGTAGGGAGAAAGCGAGAGGCAGGGAGATACAGGAAACGATCCAGGGCGAAATCAAACCCGAGCCCCTGCTGCCTTTCAGCGTGTAGGTTGCCGGCTTGACCAATGAGCTGCACGTAGTGCATAAAAGGCTGAAAGTGCCATTCGCTTGAATAAACTCAAATCCCATCGAACAAGTCTGTTTTAAACTTCACTGAGCCTCACATATCTAACAGTGTAATAAAACATGTATTAATCTTCTCCACACTAGGCACATCTCCCTGTATGGCTTTTCGTTGTTGAGCCAGCTATGTGGGTCCACAGTGGATAGCTGTGGGTAAACTGTGGGTGTGTGTGTACAGAGCAAAGCCACAGTTATCTAGTGCAGGGATGCGAGGTTGACCCACAGGCGGGGCCAGCGAGAGTTTCCTGTGGGTAAGACAGCTATTGGTTGCCCACAGAGTTCCCTTTTGGGACCCCAAAGCACAAAACTGCTGTGGGCCCCGCGTGGGTACACTCACTTGGGCCTCCATGGGAAAAGTGTACGTTTGCCCTGCCCACGCAGCCCCTGTGAATCTGCATGGGCATGCTTGCTGGGATAATAGCACGCTAAATACTTTTTCTAATTAAATCAAAAAACCCAAATAGCGAATCCCTCTTAGTTTCTGATTTACTTACAAGTGTTGTAAGACGGCTCGCACTGCAGGGACATGATCTGGTGTTTCTCCTCATCCGTCTCCACTGTGAGGTTAGAGAGGTACTGCTTCACCTTTCTGGCCATCTGAGCGTCTTCGTACAGCTTCTTAGCATTGAGGAGCGAGCTTCGGCGTACTCTCTTCTTGTGCGCTCCGCCTTGCACGTCTAGCATATTGGAATTGGTGCTGCCCTGACTCAAAGACCTAAAAGATGATAGCAGAGAGGCAGGAAGAGGAAGGAAGAAAAGGTAGAGTAATAATAAAGACAGTGAGAGGAAGAAGAGATGGAAGAAGTGTGTTAAATTGAACAGAAGTAACAGAAAAGGTGGAGGAGGATGGAGCCGCAAAGAACAGAAAGAAGGAAAGGAAGATAAATGTGTAAGAGAAGAAAAAGGGCATAGAGGAAAAAAAATGCAACACAGTCAATTTAATCACCAATAAAACACGAAGGTCTTCCGTCTTATCAAATACAGCTTTTACTACAAAATCTGTACATCTGCCTCCGTTTTGGAGCATAGCATTTTAAAAAAAAGGACCATGCAACTGGGAGGGAGGCAGCACTCCCTGGTGTGCCATGCTATCACAGTACAGAACAGCAGAACATTTTGTCAGATGGAGGCAAAAAGGGTTAAGAAACAAACAACGCACAATATTCGATACTGGGAATATTATGCCATGATGCAGATATGAACAAACGCCAAACCTGAGTCAAATAGTATCACTAAAATACACACTGGTGCGTTTTACGTTGCCTTTTTTTGCAGCGAGGTGGAGTTTGTTCTACAGGATTGTGAGCTGAGGTAGGTGATAAACGGATCCACCCTTAAGTGCTATTTTGTTGCGTTTCCAACCGTACTACAAGAGCAACATCAGCAGACGGAGTTTGTAGTTGCTATGGAAGCGTAGCAGTTTTTTCCAGTTCATTTCAGCCGTTGTGCATTGTTATGGAAATGTTACTGAACAAACTTCACCTGCTGATGAAGACAATCAGATATAAATGAATACTGCAGGACAGGAACTTAATGGAACAATGAGGTCTAATTACTCTCCTGCTGTTTCCAGGCAAGAAGCTTTGCATTATAACTATCTACTTCTATTCCACTTAAACTTGAATCTGCAGTTGAATAGCAGCAATTCATCATTTAGCCAATTTTCACTGGTAGCTGCGAATGTGTTAAGAAACGCTCTGCACCATTTCAAGCTACTATATGACTCAACATACACTCTCGTCAGTAGGGTAGACAATTAATGGGTCAATAAGGGACTTTAGTGTGGTTCGTGTGATGCAAACAGAAGGGTTAATCATGAACAAGCACAGGCAGACACATGAACGCTCATATAAAGCATGGCGAGACATGCAGAGTTTATGATGACAGGGATGCAGGGAGGATTCAAACTTTTGCCGGGCCAGACCGAAACAGGATGAATCTGGTACGCAGGACAAACTTACCCTAAACTCTTCCACCTCTTCTTCCTGCAAGCAAGAGGCGTGAAGATTGAAGCGTGACTCAAAGACAAGTTCAGGGGTCAGGGGAGAGGAGGAGACAAGACTATGTAGAGGTCATGCCGCAAAAAACAAACAAACAAACAGGAAATGACCGGAGATGGGAGGACACCAAACAGTGGACATCTCCCCATGTCAACCTGAAGAGTGTTTGTTATGACTTCGTATATGATGCATTTGGCACATTGTGTTGTGTTTTTTTTTTTAAGTATGTGACTTGTGTATAGAACTGAAGTTTGCTCTTTATTTTGGGTTTGCAGTATGAAGGGAGTGTCTGCAGGGGGCAGTCATGCACCGTAGCAGTGACAGACTGTGATTAAACACACACACACACAAACCGAGTGATAATAACTACACAATGCGGCTGGCATCAATTCTACCTTCATTTCCATTCAGTCCATTCATTGTGTTCTTACATTCCAGCAGAGGAATGCAATCCAAACACAGAGAGCCATGAACTGAACAGGAAGTGAACGGGAATTGATTGAACCAGACCTTCAGTGCGAGCCTGATCCTGTTGGGTGAAGGATCAAGGTTGGCTGGTGGAAGTATGGTGGTGCGGTTCCCTTTTTGCCAACATTGTAGCCTACGGTGGGAAAGTCTTTTTACACGCTTCTGCTTCAGTTTTGAAGAAATATGAGGGAAGTTGTGGATTCACAATAACAAGCAGTTTAGCTTGTTATTGTGCACTAGGATGCTTTTTTGCAAATACAAAATTCAATCATATGCTCCCCCGATGAGGACGTTGTCTAAGTAAGAAATTCTACAATATAATGTATAATGCCATATTCAAATACATATAAATCTGCACAAACAGCCTTGTCATTTCATCACTTGTCATTTTGCTCCTAAAACCGGTTTAAATGGTTAATCGTGCTGCAGTGTCAAACCAACCGACCTTTGCCTAAACATGAGGGCAGGGTCCATGTTGGCTGAGGTCATCCGCACCACATGTCTGATCTCCTTCGCGATCATCCTCAGCTTCTCAAAGTTCACAAGGCCATCAACACTTGAGTCATTGCCTGAGACGACAAACAGAAGTAGAAAGTGAGAAGTCGCCCGTCAGCAGTGTGGTGGAAGGAAATGATTGACGTTATGGACATTTGTAGCAACTGATATGCAACACTTTTTCCATATCACATTTTAAAAGTAAAACCTGAAATTCCCTCTATATATATTTTTTGCTATCATTAGCCACACTGCTTAATTTGAGGACACAATGAGGGCAACTTTTCATTTTACACAAACACTTTTAAGAAGGAGCCTTTGAGTAGAAGTCGGGCCAGCTTTTAGGTGAAAAAAAAAAACCGAAAGAAGAGGAAGCCTATAGCAGAAGTAAACCTCGTCAGTGAGTGTGACCTGACCTTTGGCACAACACAGAGGAAGCTGGGAGATTAAATTAAACTTCAAGAAACGGAAACAGTCTTGTAGCATATTTAAGAAACACAAGAGTGAGGATGCAAGTAGATCATCTGAGAAGGCACACAAAGTCTTCTACCTTCATGTAAGAAGGTGAGGTCCTTCTTGACCACTGGGAACAGCGGGATGATGGGCGGCTGCATGCTCTGGCTGCTCAGCACGTTTCGGTACTTGGCCATGTTCCTGGATGGGTCGAAGAGATCTTGCAGGTCCCCAAAGAGCTTCTCGTACTTACTGGGCAATTTTTCCCAGGAACTCCGCAGTCGAGCCACCGGTGCCAGGTTCAGTCCGCTGCGCGAGAGAGGAAAGAGGTGCAAAGAGGGCGGGGGGAAGAGAGGGATCGAGGCAGAGATAAATAGGTTACGGCAGACAGAAGAGGGTGGGGGAGAGGTAAAAACGAGGAATAGATGAAACAAGGGTAGAGAAGAAAAGGAAAGGAGGTTAGGTTTAATGTGAATGTTTCATGCTGTACAGTTCCTACTCTTTGAGCTAACTAACTTCAGTGAGTGGGGTCATCTTTTCCCACAGCTGAAAACCCCATGAGGTGATGTCAGCTCTGAACAGACAGCTAATAACAATGAATGACACAGCATTTCTTTTCTTCTCTCCTCTTACATTGATTTGTTCATGCAGCGGGCACAGTTTTCTTTGTCATACTAGATCATGTGACTCAAACACTACACTACTGGACAGATGGCTTGGCTTTCTCCATATTTCACAATCCTGCATGTCTAACACCTTCCCCTTTTTTGATATTTGCACAGGGCAGCAGCCGCCACCACCGCGCCCCTGTCAGCAGGCAGGTTGTGCATCCATATGTGTGCAGACCCCCTGCTGTGAGCAGGAATGTAAAGGGGCGAGAAGGTCAGGCACTTGGGCTTTAAAGCGCCTTTTACAGCGGCAAACAGAGTGTCTCCATACGGCTGAGCTCTTTTAACACGAGTCCAGATCAGGGAGTGGACACGGGTGCTGCTCGTCACACTGAGCAGGCAGCGTACTGCTGTATAAGAAGGGTGCTAACATTTATTCTTAGCACAGGAACACAGAGCAAAAAAACGTATTTAGTTCAAGTCATCAAATTTATGCGGCATCTACATCAGTACTGAGCTCAGTGCAACTTCTTCCTGCACTTATATTTAAATTTATGCCACATTAACAATGCAGGCAGTTCCTCTTATTATTTATCACGTTGTTTACTGTTTCACACTGCAGTGTGCTTGTTTGAAAGTTTCAAAGCTAAAAAAGGACTTGGACTATAAAACCAACATGGAGTGAGAATTTGGAGTGGTCAGGTGTTATTTCACCTGGTGGTTCGGACACAGTGTGACAGTGAAGACACCGTGATGCCCACTTTTTTATCCTTTCTTATCTTAGTAAAGGAAGCTATTTTCCGCTACTGCCTTAATTGCAAGGAGTTGCCACATCATGTAGTTCTGCATGTGTGATTTGGCAGATTTTTAAAAATAAATGCTTGATGTAACTCCCCAAAATGACTTGTCTTCTCTTGGGATTGAACAGGGGACGAGTAAAACCAGATTAAAATGAGCAGGAGCATTTTGGGAAATCTTGAAACAATGAATTGGTCTTAGAGTTGAAAATGCTTAAGCATCAAATGGTGTCATCTGCATGAAAAGGAAACTCAGAAATTCGAAAAAAATACGGAGAAATCCAAAATGTTCCAGGAAACAAACGCTGCAGAATGTTAAACGGGCACATTTTTCAGCCATATGACACCAGATCCTCCGGGGCTGGGAGGAAATTAAATCTACAATAGTAAATGCTCTGGGGTGGCCACTGCGATTTTCTGATCATGGGGAAACAGACAGTCCTGTGCATCTTTAAGAGGGTAAACACATTATGTGGGACTGCATTTTCTTTGAATAAATGTCATTATTTTCATGGACCTTAGGCTTGTGTTTTAACCTGAAAGTTCTTATTAGATCTTAGTTAAAAACATTAAGGATAAATCCCACACAAACAAGCTTCTGTGCAGAAGCTAAGATGCTTAAACATGAAAATACTGGCGGATTTTAATTTACGTGCATCCTTAAACTAAAATACACTGACGCTATGTTTAATACTCCATAAAAGCTCAGCTACAGCCAAACCACAAAGGCCACAGGGACTCAATCATTGTAGCAGACAATAAGCATAACTACTGCTGTGAGACTTGTTTTAAATGCTGTGCAGTTTCTGTGCGCTCTGGGAGAATCAGGGCTGATTACAGGAAGGAACAGAAGGGGAAGAGGGGAGGGGGTTGGACTGGTTCTCCTGACGATGTGGTGAATGGAGACCCACCATCAAAGCTCATCTGCCAGCAGAGATGGAGTAAATGCAGAATGAAGGACACAAACAGTCGAGGGGAGGTGCTAGACTGAGCCAACCTGATAATAGCGAACATGGAGTTGAAGTTCTTGCACTCTCTGCAGTGAAGGGCGATCTTGATGAAGTGTTTGATGGTTTTCATCCTTTTCAGAGTGTTGGGCTCCTTCAAGATCTCTGTGGCCACCCAGAAGGTCTCCTGGTTTATCACCTCCTCAAATTGTTTCAGATTGCCACTTCCCACAGAGGAGTCTAGTTTAAACAAGTCATCCACGTACCTGAAACACGTGACAGAAGGGTTCAAAACTGGGTTAAAAGGCAGGATATTATCGTTTCAACAAATGGTATGTCAAAAAACTGTTACTGTAACTAATATTCAATCATAAAAAATATGGATATCCTCTAGTAATATGCTTCAACCACCTATCCGGCACTTTCTGGGTTCATAATTCCATCACTTTTAACAAGATTTCCACACCAATGGCTGAAAGCCTCAGGCCACGAGAGAGAGCTTCCACCACGTTTCTAGACGAATGGCTTCTTGACAGCCACCCCTCCACTAAGACCATTTCTAATGAGGCAATATTCCATCCAGCAGTTGTTTTTTTGAACTGCTGCTAAATTAAAATCTACATACTCTGTGGACTCGATGTTCCTGAAGAGCTCAAAGTCTCTCATGGAGAGCTGGGCTGCAACCTCCATGGTGCTCAGCTGCAGAAGTGAGATTTGACTTTCTCTGAGGAGATCCTGGGCGTCCTCGTCTGAACACAACGTCTCCGTCTCCATGTTGTTCTTCAGGTAATACCTAAAGAAGAGGGAGCAGGTGGAAGATGGATAAGTCTAAGAATAACTTTGTTATTTTATTAAAATATTTCTTAATGTTCCCGTAACGAATTCACCAGATTTCAAAAGCTGCGTTACACGTGAGAAACAAAAAAGAAAAGAGGAGTTACGTTTCAGCCTCTGAATCTAAAAACCTGGAGAGAAATTAACTGACGGTAATTATATTTAGTGCTAGAAATGCATGATGCAAAACACTTTATTGGTGACAGCTTACTTAGCATAGTATGCACTAGACTGCAGTTCCCTCAGCTTTAATATAGGCAGACAAGTGGGTGGATAAGATCCATTTTTCCAGGCTGATAAAACTTTCTGGACCTGATAAATTAAATGTTCCTTTCAGTCTTATTTCATTTTTAAATGGGCAAATTTTCTCTCTGAGAGCAGAAATTAGTTTCAGGAAAAGGCAAAAAAAATGCTCTGATGCTGATGCTGCTGACAGATTATGTACATATTTTACATCTAAAGGTAAAGAAGGGGAGAGAAAGAGTGAAAGCAGGGCTCTTGGCAAAGAGAGGTTAAAAAAAATGACAGGTGCCTGAGTAAGAGCAAACAGGAGCCATTTCTCCTTAAGATTAGTCTCTAAATGTTTTCTGGGAGACTCTTTCACGCTAATGGAGCTGTAATGTGGTCATCTAGGAATGCTGAACCACAAATCAGAGCATTATAGGCCAAGAGAGGGCAACCCTCGGGGGTAAAGTGTTGGCATGGATGTACCTCTAAACCACGCTCAATTACTCTGTCAGACAAGCTCAGACAGGCTGTGAGATCAAGCTGAATTTATATTTAGGATAAAACATGAGACCTCTTTCACATTTAGAAGACAGAGAAAAACTCCCTCAACATATTTAGATTCAAGACATTTTAGGAATCTAATCATTTATGAGAATCTGCACACGCTGAAAACGCAGAGGAGGTGATAAGATAAAGCACTTGTGTAATGCCTCTGAAACAAGGAGGCATTAGAGGAGCAAAGACGACATCAAGCGAGAGAGGAGTCGGAACGAGCGCAGATGAAAGAAGAGAGAGGAAGAGGAACACGAAGGGAGAGGAGTAAAAGGAAGTCCAGATGAAAGGAGACGAGAAGGGACAAGAGGAGCGAAGGAGAGGACGCGGGACTAAATGATGTCAGAGGAGAGAAAGGGACAAAAAGATGGGAGGAAAGGAGTGAGGGCAAGGAGATGAGCAGGGTACTTAAGGGGAAGAGAGGAGAGGAGTCTAAATTAATGATGGACAAAGTGCTGCTTAATAGAACTGGGAGAGGGAACGTCACTGGAACCAAGCCATCGTAAACAGCTACGGGCAGTGTTTGGGTGTGCGATCTGTGCTTAAGCGCTCAAGATCCCCTCGACGCATCTATATGTATATTTTGGCAGCATGATTAAGGCTTTGTGTTGGCTTAGCCTGGACCCCCCCGCCTTTTCCCTTGGACCTGCTGTCAATCAGCAGCTGCAGAGAGGAAGAGACGGAGGAGGTGAGATATGGTGACAGAGGACCCGGGTGGAGATACTGCTCCAGATAGAAAGTACTGCAATGTGGACTGCCGATTGCCCTCTTACATATGTATACAGGTTGAAAAAAATACAGCCAAGCATTACAGGAATAGCAAGTACAGGGAAAAGATTTCCTCAAGAAACAGGAAAGCATAAGAGATTATATACACACACACATATATTCAATTTCAGCTGTTTAACCAGCATAAAAAAGGTCTATACCTGCACCGATACATGCCTATACCTTGCTATGTGTCTGTATGTGCGTGCGAGTGTGCGTATGAATAATTCCAGCCGCGGCATGCTGTCTGCAGAGGCCTCCGCCCCTGACAGAGGATGAAAAATTCATGCTAGGCTAGCTGGGAGGAGACCAATGAGAGACCACAGGAGACGAGTAGAGAAGAGGGACAAAACTGTGGAGAAAGTCGCTTCAGGGTAGACGTAACGGCTGCAGTCCAATAATTCTTCACGTCTTAATTTCATCTTAAAAGGGAAAATGACTAGCACAGAACTGTGATACAAAACAACAACAAATTGGGGGGGGGAAAAACCTACACAGACACAAAAATATACTCGGTAAAAGAAAGAAGACGCAGCATCAACAAAATGATGTTGAAGCTTCTTCAAATAAGTGGAAAAGTTGCCATTTTCTCCAGAAAAAGGAAAAGCCTCGACTCTTTGGGTGTGTTGCATATCACTACTGTTGAAACTGTTGTTCAAGTCATCCACGCCAGGTCGTGTTAAGTGAATTAACTACATCACAAAAATACTACCCCGTATCTCCAAGAGCAGGACTGAGAAGTACTGCTTTAGTAGAACATTCAAGCTTTTCTCAGTGCTGATTTGGAAAACACGTGACACTCGATGGATTAAATCGTTGTACTTAGCAAGCCTAGAAATTATTTGAGAGGATAATAATTGGTGCAGCTGTAAAAAACAGTGAGAAATGTGTGAACATTCACAAACTGGAAACCAGAAATAATCAGAAAAAAGAAAAGGGAGGAAAATCCCTCAGTTTCAGTATTCTGGGTTTTGAGTCCAATAACTACAGGCTGGATAATTCAAGATTTAAGTGGATATTCTTTTTGTTTTTGACAACAACAAACTTCCTGGACCTGCAAGTGTTGTTTCCGGCTTTATTCTGGGTTGTGTTTGTGTACTTCATGTTGCAGAAAGAGAAAAACACTCAGCTGCTGAAGTTACGTACAAGAAAATACCACTGATAACCATTATGTAAGATGGGATGGATCAAACGGGTCATAAAACACAAATGCAGACAGAGTATTAGATTTTTCCACAACAATCAACACCAGTGTAACAGTTGTGATTCTTACCTTCCATTAAGCTGAATTCGATCAGCCAGTTTAGAGAGCTGATCAGGCAGACGGCGCTGTTTTATGACTCCCTCTGGGCTAATTGATACCTCGCACAGGGAGTAGGTCTCGGGTGCCGCGACGAGTCCAAACTCATTGACAGTGTGCGCGACGACATCCTTGGCAGTAGTGTCCTTACTGATGATTATGTAGCAGCTCTGCTGGTCGGCCTTGAACACTCGAATTACCTGGTCTGGGATGTCTAAGAGTGGAAGAGAAAGGAAACAGACGAATTGTGTGATGTTTTGGAAAAAGTCGGCTTGACCAGTAAAGACAGGAAATTACTTTGATTATTAACAAGTTTAAGCTGGAAAGACTCTGCAAGAAACTTCCAGAAGAGACCAACTCTTCTGCCTAAACACCTTGAGTGTAAAATCTGAATTCAATTGTATGTATCGCCCCAAATCACAACAACATTCGCCTCAAGGAGCATGAACATTACAATACAATGTTCTTCCATGAACAAGCACTTGACAACAGTGGGAAGGAAAAACTCCCTTTTAACAGGAAGAAGCCTCCAGCAGAACAAAACAGACAGGGACAGCCATCTGCTGCAGCCTGTTGGTGGTGAGGGGAGGAAGACCGGATGAAAAACCCATTGTGGTGAAATCTAAAAGGGATAAGGGTTGATGTGACTGTGCTTTTAATGTTACAGTATGTCACAGGGCTCTCTGACGGCGCACAAAGGCAGATACTTTAGCACATAACACATTTATTCTGACTCTGTTCATCAAAAACAAATAACATAAGAGTCACATGCTGTCTTTAAAACATGTAGACTACAGTCTATTTGAAACACAGCCTCAAATAACACTTAAAAAGTGAACAACAGACGGGAATAAAAAGAAGAGGACGAAAAACATGCATGCAAGGGTAGCAGAAATGCAAGCAGAAGACTTTCACTTCTTGGCAGATATATTGGGCTCAGCAGCCCTGCATTGACCTTGGATATGCACATATTCATCTTGAATCATCTCTGAATTTATCTCTGTGATGTGTCCTGCTAGTAAGTTTGTTCTTAGCATCATATTGTCATATTTTCTGGGTTAAGCGTCTTCACCTTAGCACTCTATTTCCCACAGCTTGACAGAACTATAGAACTATAAAATATTAGATCACTGTTGTTGTAAAAGCATAAGACTGAAAATCCAGTAATTTATTATTTAAACCTAAATGGTTTATAGAAACATCTTACGTGAAGTAAAAGATGAAGCCACTTCCGCGTCTGTTATTTGTTGTTAAATAGTCCATTATAAAGGCTTTGAATGTTGGTGATTGCAACAGATTCCCGAGGCTGCACGCAGCTGCACGCGACTTACATGGCGTGCTGTGTGTGTTAAATAATGGAAATGTTCCCCCTGAGTGAAATCCTGCATTAAAGATCCCTGTGTTTGAGTAAGGAAGAGGGTACGGCCCATTAGCCACAGGCGGGTAAAGAGCTTTAAAAGAATGAATTATGAACGCTGCACAGTGACAACTGGGAAGAGAGTCCGACAACCAGATGAAGCTATCACACAGCTGCAACATGAACCTCAGCGTGTGCGGGTCTTTTCGTTTTACCTTGCTGGAAAGAGACGGGGATCGTAAGCGATGACTTTCTGCACATTACCATAAATCCACACACACACAGACAGACAGACAGACACACACACACACCGGCTTCTTTTTGTTTATCAAGCAGGTACAGGGCAAAACACAAAGCCTGCCCTTATTTGCATGGATATCTGATCGGTCTGTGGCTGCGAGTGCGTGTGAATGGCGAAAGCTGTTATCTGTACACAAGTCAGTGTGCGTACTTTGGATTCAGAGCTCCAAATTCAACATAAAAAGTCGGTTCTCTGTATGCATCTGATGCAATGCTGTGGTCGCAGTCACGGTGGGTTTACGCTGAGGGATTCAGTTCCCGCTTTTTAAGTTTAATTTATGCGCAGCATTTTGATAAGCATAAGTCATTTTTCTTTTTTGTTTGTTTTGTCTTTTGTCGCCACTTTTGTTTCTAAAAGCGACCAATTCTTTTCTATTTCCTGTCATTTCTACTTGCTGATTCGGCTGAACTGTACCTGCCACCGAGCGTTACTTGTGGACATCGAGTGCTTATTTATAGTCTATTCATGAATCATTGCTTAATTTGAAAACGGGTTCCAGATGTTTCCCTGCACTGTTTCACAGATTTTTAGCCAGCTTTTGTTGTTGTTGTTATTTTCCATTGAACCGTATCGACATATTAATGTTTTGATGTTAGCACCCCTTCTTGACCTCTTTACTGACTGTGTGTTCATTAAGTGCAAACACATACATAAACACTTTTATACTCATTCAGATGATTGCTGACTTTTATGCTGAAGATGGAGCTATGTACGCTGACGCTCTGCTGGCAAAGACCGCATTAGAGAGTTTTAAAGTGCAGCCTTTCCTCCTCCCTCTGTGGTGCTGCAGCAGAAGAGAGCTTCTCTGTTTATGTGCAGCAGGGTGTTGAGAGAAGGCTGACTGGAGGCTAAATGCTTTGTGTCTCATTAGCTGTAATTTGTGATTAGAGTGTGGAAAGCCTTCAGATAAATTGCTGGCTATCATATCCAGGGGGCCTAATCGTGTTTAATCCTCTTGATGAGCTATGACCTGGACTGCCACACAGGAGGACAATAGTGCCCACCCGGCCGGACATCCAATCAATTACCATCTTTAATAAAGTATTGTTCATTTACATAAACAGCAAGAAGCCAAAGAGGCTTTCAACACAAGAAGGAAAGGCGTGGGATTTTGCAAACACAGCACTAACAAAGGCTGCACACTTCCAGCAAGTCTGCTCCTCCTCCTCCTCCTCTTCAGCCTCCTTTCTACTGTTTGCCAAAGCTTTTCCAAGTCCCTCCATCATACAGTCGGAAGTCATAAATCACAAGATAGCAGAAGAAAATTTGCCAAGCTTGCTCAGGTTCCTGAGAGGAGAGCGGACTAGCTAAGGTCAAACACAACTGTTTTATGCCCAAATATCCTCCCAATCATACACCTCTTTTATTTTTTGCTGTTCAACAATTTGACTATTTGGTTTTGGATTTAAACCAAGAGCTCTGTCAACTGGGGCCAGCATTTCTCATTAAGGCTGAATATCAGTATCTGTGTTTACAAACAGAAAAATCAATCTTACGAACATGTGTCCTTCACCCCAAAGGTAACTGCTTAAAACAGACTGTGTGTGTGTGTGTGTGTGTGTGTGTGTGTGTGTGTGTGTGTGTGTGTGTGTGGTATAGCAGCAACTTGAGTTACAAGAACATCA